TTAACATTATAAATAAAATTTATTAAAATTACTAATTTATCTATAATTGATTATTATTTTTTATAATTATATATATTCTTTTATAATTAGTATTATTTTTTTCACTATTTTTTTTATTGATTTTTTAAAAACTTGTAAAGCATAGAAATCTGTCAATAATTGATTATATTGATACAATATTTTTCTTTTTTTTTCACTTTATTTTTTTTACAACTGTTATTATTTTTTTGGCTAAATTTTATAACAGTTCACAAATTACACTCTCTATTGACAGATTTCTATGCTTTACAAGTTTTTAAAAAATCAATAAAAAAAAATAGTGAAAAAAATAATACTAATTATAAAAGAATATATATAAATATAAAAAATAATAATCAATTATAGATAAATTAGTAATTTTAATAAATTTTATTTATAATGTTAATTTATATTTAAAAATAAAAAATTTTCAATTAATAATCTTTTAATTAAAATTAAAATAAATATGTTATAATAAAAATTATTATTAATAAAATAATCGAATTGAATTGAATTGAATCAAATTGGATACAAATCAAATCAAATAAAATTAAATTCAAATTAGATTCAAATCAAATTGAATCAAGTTATATTATATCCAATTTGAATTCGAATTGTACATCTAAAAATGAATCAAATTAAATTTAGTTAAAATCTAATCCGATTCAATCCATTGCAATTCCTAATTATAACTAATTATTATAAAGTTAAAGTATTTGAATAAAATCTTATATGTCACTTTATAAGTTTGTTAACTTTTATTTAAATTTTTCTAGAATTATTTACTTATAAATATGTTATTTGATTTTTTTTTTCTATTGATATTTGAAATTTTTTTTAAAAATTTAATTGATTATTTAATTAAAAGTTATTTTGTTAGACTTGAAAAGATTTTATAAAAAAATAAGTTAGGTTATTTATATGGACAAGAATATTTGAAGCTAGAAAGTTCTATATTGGCTTGTACTTGGTTAATTTAGAGATAAAGGAGTTGTAAAAAATAACTCATATTTAAATATATATATATAAATAAAACTTTATTATTAGAAAAAATCATCTTTTATATTATTTGGAAAATCAATAATTTAAATTGTATAAATGTTAATATTTAAATTAATATATATAATTTGAACTTGAGAGAAATTTGTTAAAAAGATATACAGTATATTAAATCAAAATAGAATATACAAATAAAATAATTTCAAAGAATTAAATTAGTAAAAGCAATATATTAAGTATCTAAAAAAAAATTGATTAATTCAAATTCAAAGTTTTGAATTTTATAAATATAAATTAGTATTAAAACCAATAGTAGTTTTAAAAATGACATTTTTTTAATTTAAATTTCAACATTGGCGTGAATCTATTTTTAAATTTGTAAATATATTATATACAGTATATATATATGATTATTGCTTATATCCAAATAGTCAATTAAATAAGATAAAACTATTTAATCTTATATGCGTATATACAGTATATTACTTGTATTAATTTTTTTTATCAAATAATAAATATATACAGTATATACAATGTATAAAAATCAAAGCATACAATCATTTATTAATCGAAAATCCAAAAATATATTAAATGTAAATAAATTTATTTGCTGGTTAAAAATCGTAAGTTTTTTTTAAAAAAAATTCAAAAATACCAATACATTAATTATATTGTAATATCTCCTGTTACCTCATGACATCTATTTTTTACAGTATAAATACGAAAAACATGTTTGTTTAATTATATTGTCTATTATTGTAATTGCAGTATTCTTACGTTTTTAAAAATTTTTGATTTTTTAAATTGAGATCCAACAATATCGCCTATACAATAGATACAGTATATTTAAAGATCATGATCCGATTTTTTTTTCTATTTCTTCGAATTTTCGATTCTCTGTTAAAATAAAAGTTCAAATTAACAGATGTGGCATTCTGCTTGTGCAAATTTTTATCTTAAATGATATCAAGTGAATTTTAGCAATGTTTTTTTAAGTATAAATATTCGACCTTTTTTTATGGTCAGTTAATTTTATTTTAAACTAAAATATAATGGTTACTGGACATATTAATTAATAAAGAGAAAGTGTATTAACAGTAAGACAACAAAAAAATCAAACAATTTGACGATTGTTTTTAAATCGATTCTGCACGTGAAATCGGCACGTACTTTAAACATGATTGTAAAAAGTAACCGCCTTTGATATTTAATTCCAAATCCCAAATGAATAAGAATAAATGCAACTTAACCATATTTCTTTTCTTCATTAAAATGAATTGTGCATACATCCCCGTCGTATAAATCTTGGACAAAAAAGGAAACACATTTGTGGATTCACGCGTATGTGATTATGCATTTACGTGATGTGCTGAACAACTGTCGTTCTCATACTATTAAGGCTAATGGATTACATTGTTTTTCGCACGCATAGTGCTCCCGTGTCGTGTTGAAATAACGTTTAAACAATCATGAAACGATGTACGTTACCTGACATACTAAAGTATTTATTACACCAAAAAAAAGGATTTTTTCTAGTATCTTGTCATTCATTTTAATGTCATCAACCAACGAAGAATCTACTACTGGCCCCAAGTTACCTATCTCAAGGAATAGCAGGAAAGCATTTTTCAGCTTTTCCAATGGTGCGACATCCTTCCAACAAGGATGCTTGGGTGAACAGCAAGCTACGATATCAGGGGTATTAAACATCAGATACACCGACAAGAAGCCGATATTTGCTAAAAAGATTGAAATATCTTTTGTTGGCAAAGAGTATGCCTTCTTCAGAGGAACGGTGTCAGAGGATCAAAAAACCAAAAATGATGATGATGAAATTTCAGATGATGAGATTTCGGATGACGAGATTCCCGAAGATGACGGCACCTTTTCCACTCATACTGCCAAACGAAAAATTTTCGAAACGTCTGTTTGCATATGGAAGTCACAGAGCAAAGGTTCATATGAGGGCGTAAAATTTTTGGATTTGCCTTTCAAATTTCAACTTCCCGATAACCTTCCACCTTCGATATGCATGGATAGAGGTTGGGGGAGGATTTACTATATGTTGAAAGCAGTCATTTCTCGTCAGCCAATAAACCCTGACAGTAATAAGAGTAGGAAGATGATCAAAATGATGGTCCCGGTTGTTCGTTATACCGCCACCCCATCACCAACCCCTTCTCGCTGGTTCGCCAAAGAAGAGGGACCGGTCGTAACTCGTTCAGTGTGTTATGATGTGTCTTTGGATCGTGAAACTTTTGGTCCCGGAGGAACCGTAACTGTTCCGGTAAAGTTATACTTTCGTGAATCACAAGTTTACCTCAAAAGCATATTTGTTGGAATCAAGGAATACCATGAATTACGAACAAACAAATATGAAAC